TGTGATGCTTTGGTTCGCAGCCCGTGCTCAATCCACTGAGCTACACCAGCCAGGGCTGTTTTTTTAAAAAAAAATTTAAAGATTGCATTTATTTACTTTTAGAGAGAGGGGAAGGGGAGGAGAAAGAGAGGGAGAGAAACATAAATGTATGGTTGCCTCTTGTGCACCCCCTACTGGGGACCTGGCCTGCAACCCAGGCATGTGCCCTGACTGGGAATTGAACTAGCGATCCTTTGGTTCTCAGACCCGCACTCAATCCACTGAGCTACATCAGCTAGGGCTATTTTGGGGCTTTTTTTAGGTTCAGTTGTTGGTGTTGTGAGTTTGTTGTCATTTTACTGTTCATATTTTTTATCTTCTTTTTCTTAGAAAAGTTCCTTTAACATTTCATATAATAAGGGCTTGGTGATGATGAACTCCTTTAACTTTACATTATCTGGGAAGCACTTTATCTGCCCTTCATTCTAAATGATAGCTTTGCTGGATAGAGCAATCTTGGATATAGGTCCTGGCCTTTGATGACTTGGAATACTTCTTTCTAGCCCCTTGCCTGCCAAGTTTCTTTTGAGAAATCAGCTGATAGTCTTATAGGCACTCCTTTGTAGGTACTGTCTCCTTTCCTCTTGTTGCTTTTAAGATTCTCTCCTTCTCTTTAATCTTGGCTCATGTAATTATGATGTGCCTTGGTGTGTATTTCCGTAGGTCCAACTTTTTTGGATTCTCTGAACTTCCTGGACTTCCTGGAAGTCTATTTCCTTTGCCAGATTGGGGAAGTTCTCCATTATTTTTTCAAATAAGTTTCCCATTTCTTGCTGTTCCTCTTCTCCTTGATGGCATCCCTGTGATTCAGATGTTGGAGCTTTTAAAGTTGACCTGGAGGTTCCTCAGCCTCTTCTCATTTTTTTTGAATTCTTATTTCTTCATTCTGTTCTGGTTGAATGTTTATTTTTTCGTTCTGGTCCAAATCTTATTTGAGTCCCGATTTCCTTCCCTTCACTGTTCGTTCCCTGTATATGTAGCTTTATTTCACTTTGCATAGCCTTCACTTCTTCCTCTATTTAACAACTATACTCAACCATTTCTGTGAACATGATGATTACTAGTGTTTTAAACTCTGCATCTGATAGGTTGTCTATCTCTTCATTGTTTAGTTCTATTTTTGGAGCTTTGATCTGTTCTTACATTTGGGCTGTATTTCTTTGTCTCAGCACACCTGTTACATAGTAAGGGGTAGAGCCTTAGGAATTCACCAGGGCAAGGCAACCCACGTTGTTGCATTGTGGCACTGTATATGTGGGAGGGGTCAGAGAGGGAAGTTTTCTCAGTTCTTGGCCTGCTTTCAGTCACTTCCTCCACTTCCCATAAGCAAATTGGGCCCTTCTAGTGCTGATTCCTGGATGGGTGGGCTTGTGCACATTTTAGGACCCTGTGGGTCTCACCAACACACTGTGCTGTGAGGCTGGGCATTTCTCCCACCGTCACTATTCCCACAGGTTTGTTACAGCTAGAGGTTTTGAGGCTTTATTTCCCCACACTGGACCCCTGGGTCGTGCAGTCTATCTCACCCCGTAGTTGTTCCTCCCAGTTTAACTGCATGCAAATACAGAACTGCTGGACCACCAGCGGCCACCTTGTGGTGAGTCCTGTCTGCCTCGGCTGCCTGTCTCCTTCCCTTCTACCATTCTGGATGTTTCTTCTTTCACTCCTTGCTTGTCCGACTTCCATACAGTTCGATTTTTGGCAGTTCTGGTTGGTTTTTGTTTTTAAATTTGTTGTTGTCCTTCTTTTGGTTGTGCGAGGAGGCAAAGTATATCTACATACATCCCCGTCTTTGCCGGAAGCCTCTAAAACCTAGTCTGCTTTTATTTCTAATCTGGTTATTATCCCTTTTTATTATTTCTTTGGGGTTCTAGCACCTCCCAATTTAGTGTTCTCATTGAATTTCATTAGCAGCTGTTTCATTAGTGCCACAGAAGGATTAAGGATTAGACTGTTAACTAGTATAGACTTTGACAAAGAGCTATAAAAATGTATGTTTTTACCTTAGTTATAAAGCCTATTTGATCAAAGTTCCTCAGAAGCCTCTCTTTGCTACTTAGGGGTGCGAACTGACCAACGATGACATGGTAGAGCTTGGTATGTGTGGTTCTGTCCCCGTGGGAGCGGCACGTTTTGTGACGTGGCTGAATTCATGTCAGAACGAGGCGCAGCGAGGTTCTCTGTAGGTCCAGGTCGACTCACTGCCCTTTGCTTCCACTCCACCAACCAAGGAATCCACCTTCAATTTGGGTCCTTGATGACTTGATATACACACAGATTTCTTCTTTTGTAAAATATCTACCAGAATAGGTATATACTGGAAGTATTGTGAATGAACCTTTTTTCCTTCACTTGAATCTCATTTTAAATGCGCTAGGGATATTAACAAGATACACTTCGGTAAAATAAAGGATCACTCTTCTTTTTTTTGTGTCCTTTTATGCACAAAATGTCATTAAATTTGGTTGATAAAGTGCATACATATTCTCACTTTCTATTACCTACTAATAGATGACTAATGCAAAATATTGAACATTTTTTAATCAATACTTAATTTTTTAGACATAATTAGAGAGAGACTCAACTCTGACATAAACACTCACCCTACTCAGTTCCTGGGCCTGCTTCTGTTAGAGGATAACCTATAAATAATTTATGAAGCTGACATTACTCACTGTGTTGTGATCATTTTTTCTGGCAAAATCTTCGCAGCTGTTCTAATATAGATTGCCAGTTATCAGTAGCTGGGAACGCAAGTCAACCTTTAATTATGCAGAGGCCGATTATTCAGGCCACACACTGTTCCTGCCCTGTGCCGCCCCTTCCTGCTGCCTCCCTCTCGGCGCTGTCCCTGCTCATTAGCACGCACGCCGGTTGGACAAGGGGGAAGAGGGGAAATTAAATCTGTTAAGCATTCAGGAGAAGCTCCAATGAAAGATTTCAATACAATTTGTAGACTTGTTGACTAAAATTGAATCATTTGGATTCTCTGTGAATGTTATTTGTTCTAGTCTCGTTCTCCATAGCGACAGATAATAGAATGGTCTGCAGAGAAACAACATTATTCCTGTATTTCATGTTGTCCTTTCTAGAACATTTTCACGGGTGGTTCATGATACTTCCTTTATTCATTACATTTGTACCTAGACTACTTGATTTCTTTGGAGATGGGCGTATTGTGATTCCCGGCACGGACAATGACACCACAGTTATCTGATGGTTTTTTAGTTTTCCAGAAACCTGAAAGTTTCCCTTTAAGTACTAATATCTTTTATATTTCAACCAGTTTTGTTGGAAATACGATTTCCTCATACTTCAGCTAATGCCGCTGAACACTGTTTGAGCCTGTCTGGGGGTGCCTCGGCCTGTCTGCATACTGCACCTGTCCCTGAGGCGTGTTTGGCTGCTACAAAAACCCATGGCGGTTTGCTGTCCGTCCAGGAACCTCTGGGGGAGTGAAGTGTTGCAGCGTAGCAAAACTCGAGTGGTACAGTGTTTTTGTTTACCGTAAGGCTGTTGTTCTTTTTTAGTTTTTAAGATTTTATTTATTTATTTAGAGAGAGGAGAAGGGGGAGAGAAAGAGTGGGGGAAAAACATCCATCGGTTGCCTCTTGCATGCCCCTAACTGGGGACCTCACCCTCAACCCAGGCGTGTGCTGCATCCAGGAATCAAACCAGCGACCATTCGGTCTGCAGGGCAATGCCCAACCCACTGAGCCATACCAATAAGGGCAGGCTGTTATTCTTGTATAAGTTTTCCGCCTCCTTCTCTAGTCTGTCACCTGTCACTTTGATCATTGTCAAAACCTGCTTCTCATTAGTCCTCTGTTTCTGGACTGTTGTGGGCTGAGAAACTGAGTAATAACTAAGCCAGTTAGAACTGTGGCTAAAATAAGAGCGAGTCGGCCTGCTCCAGGGGACAAAGAGCTCACAAACATCAGTGCATGAGCTTCGGTGCAGAAATAGCCTCGCTGCTTAGAGGCCTCTTTCTTCCTTCCTTTCTCATTTTCAATCATGTAGTTAATTGCTGGATAATTATGTTTCAAAGAAGACACTGTTTGAAAAAAAAAAGACAAAGACATAGTTTGGGACACGGGAGTTATCTTAAACAGAATCAGTTCAAAATTTTTTTTCAATGAGAGCTACTGGTGACTGATTTCCCGTAAAGTTGGGACAAAGGGCAGAATGCACAAGTGAGCATAAGGACTTCTGATTTTTAAAAATATGTTACAAGCCTGTTTAGTTTTGGATGATAATTAGGTTACTTGTTCTGTTAACCAACCAACGACCAGTTAAACAGAAGCACTAACACTATAAAAATTTGGGGGAAATAACAGGTATTCTAGCTTCTGTGTCCTCATGAACATTATGAAGGTATCTACCTAGCAAGCTCCCTACTGATAATTCCTTTTGTATTATTTTTTTTAAATGTCTGTTCTTTTGTTTTTTTCTTTTTTTTTAATATTTTATTTATTTATTTATTTATTTATTTATTTATTTTAGAGAGAGGGAAGGGAGAGAGATAGAGAGAGAAACATCAATGTGCGGTTGCTGGGGGTTATGGCCTGCAACCCAGGAATGTACCCTGGCTGGGAATTGAATCTGGGACACTTTTGTTCCCAGCCCGCGCTCCATCCACTGAGCTACGCCAGCCAGGGCTCCTTTTGTATTATTTTTCATAGATTCTAATCTTTGGTGTGTGTTTTTTTGTGTGTGGTATTGAGTCACAAAGGTTAGGTTTCAGGATTTTGGTGGACTTTTCATGTGTTCATTTGCTTTGCTTCCTGGGGACCAGGGTGTGCTGTGAGTCATGTCCCATCTGACTGACACCGGATCCGGCTGTGGAGCTGTGACTCAGATGGGCGTCAGGCCCAATCGCCCAGCTCATCTTCTGAGGGATGGACGGCGAGGCCGGGACTAATGTCCTGACACATTTTTTTTTTTTACTCTTGGACTTTCAGGATCTGAAGAGAACATCATTACCGACAGCAGGCAGGTACGCCTTGCCTCAGGCATCTTCCCGGTTGTCAGCCTCCTGAACCATTCCTGTAGCCCCAACACCAGCGTGTCCTTCACTGGCACTGTCGCCACTGTTCGGGCATCACAGCAGATTGGAAAAGGACAAGAGATTCTCCACTGTTACGGTGCGCCATCCCTCCTCACTACCGTCTGCCTTGTCCAGCAGAAAAGGAATCACAGGTAGCAAACCACTGGGCAGGTGTCTTCCCCTGGCCAGTGACTGTTTCCTGGAAGAAGCAGTGCATACGCAGGTGAAAAAGGTGGGGAGGGCCCTCTCACTGGGCACCGTTGTGTCTAAATTAGCATGTATGCCACTGCTTCATCCCCGTAAACTTCCTGTTCTGAGAATGGGCTGGAAACAACTTGTTGGCTTTTCCTTCCTGTTCCCGCAACTTGGATGCTTAGTTCTATGTCTAGCTCCACAAAAGTTCTAGTCAAGTGTACCTGTCCCATGGTGAATAATTGCCCAGGCCCTCTCTCTGCTAAGCCGAAGGTTTTCAAGTAGTACCTGACTCTCTTTCTTTAAATAGTGGCTAAGTGTGATCTCTCTGCAGGGCCTCACGAGAGCAGGATGGGTGTTGCTGAAAGGCAGCAGAAGCTGAGGTCTCAGTATTTCTTTGACTGCAACTGCCTGGCTTGTCAGAATGAAAAGCACAGCACTGCGGCAGGGCCCAGGTGGGAAGCATTCTGCTGTAACCGCTGCAGAGAGCTCATGCAGGTGAATCTCTCCTTCCTCTCTTCTCAACTTCTGCTGGAGGTCAGTTATCCAGCCCAGAGGCCAAAAACCCTGAAGAGGAAGCCATGAGGGCTTACAGGTGCTGAGAGCAGTACTCTCTTCCCTCTCAGCCCATCTTCCACACAAATTGATCACCCCTCCACAGGAACCACAGGGAAGGGTTGAGTTTAGTAATCTTACAAGAGGTAGAATTGTAAGAGCAAAATAACAGAAAATCCCACCTAAACTGGCTAAGGGGGGTGGAGAGGAAGACTGGGGATTTATTTGCTCAAGTAAATCAATAAAACATCCCAGGATAGAGGCACTTCAGATACTTCTTGATCCAGCGACTTAGGGAATGTCACCAATACCCAGTTGTTCTCTCCACACCCCTCAGCTCTATTTTCTCTCTTAGCCTCGTCCTGAGACAACCGTCCCTCTTGTCGGGGAGAGACGGTCGATCAACGGTCTGGGCAAAAATTTGAGTTTCATTCACCCAAATTTTTGTGGCTGGAGGAAAATCAGGGTCAAATAATTTTCCTCCAGCCATTTGGGCCCGAGAAATGAGCCAGGTCTGAGCCACACGCACATCCCCCAGCTGCCGGCACTGCCTGCGGGGCGGGGGCGAGGGTCCGCGGGAGAAGTCCGTTTGCCACGGCCAAATCAGGGCGTAGGTACTGTGCCTGAAACAGAGCAGAGGTTCACCTCAGAGGGTCTCTCCGCCAGCAGATACTGTATTGTTAGGGGGAGCCAGAAGTGGGACGTAGAGCTGGTAGGGTTTGTTGGAAAGCAGAAGTTACAAGCGCAAGGTCAAATGCAGGGAGGCCTCACCTAGCACCTTTTCCTACTGGTTTTCCTGTGGCTTTTTCATAACTACTAGAAATGTGTTTGTCATCCAAAGCGCTGGCCCCATTCGAGATGGAAAGAAAGTAAGGACTGTACCAGTTTAATTTTGGTTATAAAAATTAAATGTGGGTCTGGGGGGTGGGTGCAGTTGGTTACTACTTTCAGTGGAACTGCTGCTGTCGCACCAGATTCAGTCAGGCTTTGGTCGCGGTGTGCTGCTATCGCAGGAGTCTCCTTCCCCCTTAGGGCCAGAAGCTACGCAGCCATCCTGTAATGTAAGCACGTGCCGTCTCGCTAACCAGCTCTGTCACAGGAACAAACACAAAACTGCCTTCCACAGGGAGATGACATGCTGAGCTGTGGCAGCGCATCTTGTATGGAATCTGTCAGCAGGGATCACCTAGTCTGCCAGCTACAGGACCTTCAGAAGCAGGTTGGGGTGGCCCAGAAGCTTCTCAGAAATGGAAAACTAGGTGAGATTGGGTCCCTGCTTTGCTCCTCCGGCCCCTTCCTTTTAATTCATTGTGAGGTCACCTTAGATCAGGGATACTCAGTCGTGACTGAAGAATCAAATTTAATTATCCCCATGCCAGCCACAAGGTGGCTGTGTAGGCCAAGGACACCAGGCCCCAGTCCACTCAGTTTGTGTGGTCCTGGAAGGGGGGCCAGGTGACTTAGGCTGTCTCGTGCAGGTGGCTCAGTTCAAGCACCCCATGCCACCGGTGTCTCCCAGGGCATTTCTTTTCATTCCAGGCCCTGATGACCTGATTTCCCAGAGATCGTTCTGCCCTCGTCAGAACCTCCTCTCTCCCCTCGAGACCAGCGGGCCGGTGCCCGGTGGACGTGGGTACCCTGCTTGCTTTCAGAGAGGGGGCTCTGGAGCTCCTCATTTCCTCATTACCCTGGGAAAACTCGGCCTTCCAGCTCAATGTCACGGCAATTTATTTTCCCTACTTTATGAGACTGACCTTTAACTGAGATTTCTGGGTCAAGAGAAATAATGACCATAAGTGGAATGCGTCATTCCACTTCAAACTGAAGTTGGAAACCCAGAGTAAATATGGAGAGGCCTCACCCAGCACCTTTTTCTGTTGAAAGAGGACACATAAGCAAACAAGAACTTTATTGGAACAAACACTATGGGTTGGTCGCAACCCAAGGAAACAGAGTGGGGTGGGTTCTGGTCTCTGGGGCTGGGTTTGTGTCTGTGTCTGTAATGAGGCCACTCTCCTTTGACTTGACAGAGCGAGCCATTCAGCTGTTGCTGGGGTGCCGGCGGGATGCTGAGAGCTTCCTGTGGGCGGAACACAGCGTGGTGGGAGAAATCGAGGATGACCTGGCCCAGGCCTACGCTGCTTTAGGTACGGCATGTGTCTTTATTTTCTGCTGCAGGGAGCGAGTTTGCCTGGTACGTTTGGTCCTGACCCCAGCCTCGTCGGGTTCGTCGTCTCTTAGTCTTTCAGCTGAGGCTGCTCTTCCTTCCATGTAGCTTTTCCCTCCCCAGAAATGTTCATCCACTGTTGATTGTGGTTCTTTTCTGGAACCAGGGTTGTATTTCTTTGCAGGGGACTGGCACAAGTCAGCTACCCATCTACAGAAGAGTCTCCAAGTGGTTGAGGTTCGCCATGGGCCATGCAGTGTTGAAATGGGCCATGAGCTCTTCAAACTGGCCCAGATCTTTTTCAACGGGTAAGCCTTTCTCTTGTTGCCCAGCACTGCGCTGGGCCGAATACTTCTCCGTCTTTTATTAGGCTCTTCTGCATTTCTGTGGTGCTTTTCAGCGTGTTGAAACTTCTTCATTTCCTCTCTAGGAGAGATTCCTTTCCTTCTGTTTTGCTGGCTAAGTTGAAACCTTAGGGTTTTCTCCTGAGAGATATGGGAAAAGCTCTTAGCTCCGAGGGCATTCCCAAGGGAGAAAGCAAAGCAGCCCCACCCCCCCCCACCCCCGCCAGCGGTGCCGCTCTCAGTCTTTCCTGGGTCCTCCCGCATCCCTCGCGCTCTGTTCTCAGCACCCACAACTCCAGGGGCTCTTCATTCTCCCTCGTCCTGTTCTTTCTAAAGCACTTGTTTTCAACCAGGAGTCATTTCCCAGGGGGCATATGGCAATGTCTGGAGGCATTCTGGATCATCATGCCTCAGAGTGGAGGCCAGAGTTGCTGCTAAACATCCTGTAATGCACAGGGCAGCCCCTCCAGCTAAGAATTATCCAGCTTACGAATGGCGCATAGATGGGTAGACTTGATTCTCGAGACACAGAGGCAGGCATTTGGTCAGAGAGAGAGAAAAGGGCTCGAGACTTACATCAGGGTGGGCTTGGTTACCTTCAGACAAAGACTTCTGAGTAGACCGTGGGGAAAATATTAGATTCGTGCTTTGAGGTTTGTCTGTTTCCCAGGGCCCTAGACTCTTTATAGTTTGTTTGTTTGTTTGTTTGTTTGTTTGTTTACTTTGTTCTCAAACTCTGACTTGCAGTGTGTTTGTGACAGTTGTCTCATCTGCCCTTCTAGATTGTAAGATCCTTGAGGACAAAAGTGATCTTTATATTCTTCACAGGGTGTGAGTAGACCCCCGATTAACGTTTGCTTGATTGACCAAGGGAACTCACTTCCCTCGCCTCCTTGGTTCAGGTGCGCAGTACCCGAGGCTCTGAGCACGGCGCACAAGGCAGAGAAGGTCCTGTTGGTGCACTATGGGCCTGGGAGCGATGAGGTCCAGGAGCTGCAGAGAATGAAATCCTGTTTATTGGACTTGCCGCCCATCCCCGTGGGGCCTCCAGTGTAGGGTCCCCAGGGGACTGGGGCCCACAAGAAAGGAGCCACAGAGGAAGAGCTCGAGAGGTTCTGTCGCCCCTGAGCCGTCACCAGGAAACGCAGGGCCTGCGTGACAGCCACCAGCCTGCTGCATGAGGTGGGAAGGACTTGGAAAACATCACAGTTGGAAAGATGCTCACCTGTTTTGATGACTGCTTCTTGAAATAGTTAACTGCCCTCCAGTAAAAACTCCCAGTTCCCAGAAAAGACTTAAAATTAGTATCTGGAGTGCCGAAGCCCTTTAAAAGGATTTTAGCTGATCTGCAGGCATCTGGACGTTAGCCTGGAATTTTGGCTAGATGCCAGCTCACCAAATGATCAAAGTGTTTCCTTGGAACATTCTTATGGTTTCCAGTAGTAATGAAATGTGGTATACCACCCCAGTGGGAACTTCAGCTCTTAGTAGTTGTATTGTAATTGAAAAATAATTATAAAGCAAGAAATCCATGAGGCTCCTTACCACTAGGGACACAGTTTCATTTACAATATGTAGCTTCCTCAAATCCTGTGTTAAAACCAATGGAGTATAGGTTGTGAATAGAGAAATAAACGTGGGGCCATTTTATTGCCGGGCAGTTTCTTCTTAGAATGGAAACTCTAAGTTTGTGTTCTGCCAGTTGTCCAGCCCGTGTTATCTGGCTTTCATGCTCTACTCTTGGCAGACTCACTGACCAAATACTAATAAAGCCCAGCCTGTAGCAGTGACTTTATATTGCACGTGCCGTCTCTCTGAGCTCTGTCTATTAGCAAGCCTGAAAAGAGATTACTTTTTTCCTACCAGACCTCCCCAAGCTGGCAAACGAAATTACAGGCTACATAAGTACTGAGAAGATGGCTTCAGAAGTTGCTGAGGATACAGGCATTATTAGTACTGTGGTTCCAAACTTGAGAGACAGAGGTAGGGTGGTAACTCTCTTCTGCCTGGATATCTAGCCCCCGTCCGGTCAGAAGGCTAGGAGACTCTGTGGGTCTGAACCCCAGTGGCTGTGTCACCACTGGTGAGCCAGTGGTTCAGACGAGCAGGCGGAAAAGAACGCCAGGCCCACACTGCTCTGAGAGCTCGCTCACCCCGGCCGGGCCCGAGAAGTGCCCATGGCTTGTCACACAGCACCACCACTGGGAAGTGAGTGGCCCCGAGGATGCCTGGCAGAAGCTTTTCAGGAAGCTGAGTGTTTGGAACACAGCTCGTACTGAAACATGCATGAAGGGCAGGCAGAATCTATTTATTGTCTTTGCCACTAACTGACTCTGGCACAGTGGTGGCCAGTGAGATGTTTTGGTTGAGCTAACTTTTTTGAGAAGGAAAATTTAGTCCCATGGACACTGTTTCCAACACTTGGCCTGTTTCATGTTCTTGAAAAAGATCCTGTTGTACTTTGTAAAGTAGGCATACTTCCTTAAAGAGAATATGTTTTAGCATTTTTGCACATCAGGTCCAAGTTTTACAGGTACTTGAGAGCTTCCTTTAAATGCTTTATCAAATAAAGAATTATTTTCTGACATTACAGATCACCTCCCTTATCTACTCATGTGTTATCCCATGTTGCCAGGTGACATTAACTTGACCAGGAGATCTGTGTGTGCATTCAAGTCAGGTGTATTTAAGATTATGTGTCCTGGCTGGTGTGGCTCAGTGGTTTGAGTGCCAGCCTATGAACCAAAGGATCACCAGTTCGATCCCCAGGCAGGGCACATGCCTGGGTTTTGGGCCAAGTCCCCAGTAGGGAGCATGTGAGAAGCAACCACACATTGATGATTCTGTCCCTCTCTTTCTCCCTCCTCCCTACCACTCTGTCTAAAAATAAATTAATTAAATCTTAAAAAAAAGATTGTGGAGCCAGGAAATGCCCTCCTGGGGGCACTAGTGGTCCTTGTATGTAAACATCCCGGAGCAGATCCTGCCTTACACAGTGCAAATAACTAAAAGTTCTTATAAATGGCGACTTTCTGCAGAGTTTAGATAGACCCAGGTTGTAAGTGTGGGATCAGAACCTTCCTAAAGAGTTATTTATCTTCATATCAAACTTACTATAGCTCAAAATAGGAGGAGGAACAGGGTAATGGAAGTCAAGGGCAAAGCACTTTTATTGCAAAGTATACACTGAACCGTTACAGGGGCAGCCTTCATGTAATGTGTAATCTGCCCTCTAGCGTATTTAACATTGAACTGGAGCATTAAGTGCCCCTGGGGTCCAGGATTTTGCCTATGAAGAGAAGGGCCCCTGTGTCTGTGTCCCGCAGCACAAAGATGAAAGGTTGGTTAAGGTGATAGTCCAGGGGGAAGGTGATGTGGGCAGGCTGGAGCTCTGGGCTGGGGGTGGGGGCTGCCCCATCCTCATTCCACTCGAAGCTGGCTCGATGTTCCGCTTGAGTAAGTTTGATAGATTTGCCCGTGATCTTGCTAAAGTCTGGTGAATCAAACAGGGACTGCAGCTCTGCAGGGATTGAGAGGGATTTCCATTAAAGCCCAGTCTTATCCAACACCCCAAGGAAGAACACAACCCTAATTCCTAAATCCTGATTCAAGGAGGTAAGCAAGCTGGGGGTGGAACCACTTTGGGCCTGAGGTGAGATACACAGGGCTCCCGGTTTGAGGTTACTATAAGTGACTTGCCCAAGAACACAACGCAGCTGAGGTGAAGATTAGAAACCAGATCAAAAGGCTTGTCCTGAGAGGCAGTGTTCTGAGTTCCTTTTGTAGGATATACGGTCATGGGGCTAAGGAATGGTCTTAGAAGGAAGGCGGTTCAAGCCATCCCTCCAGCACTATGTATTAGAATTAAGGAATCATCCACGGTCTCCCTGGTGGAGCCTTTGAATTCTACTTAGAAAGGCGGGAGGCTCAAAGACTCAACCCCACCCACCCCAAGAGCAAAGGAGCCTTTTGGACATACTGATCTCTTGCAGGGACTTGGTGACTTCCCCATCGTAACTCAGCTTCAGCTTGGGGACAGTTAGCACTGCTTGAACAGTCTTCAGTTCTCGGTCTATGTCATGAATGAACTCAGAGGTGAGGCTCTCTTCTATCATGGTCAAGTTCTGGGTCACTTTCTGAGGCAGGAAGAAGATGATACTCGTGCTTCCAGTCAGAGGCAGCTGGGCAATCTGAAACAACAGGGAGGGAGCCACACGGGTTCATCCTGTGGAGCCCCAGAGCCTGGGGTAGACACGCGCGTGTGCACACACAGTCCAGCTGTCTCCTCTCCTACAGCGGGGCCCTGCCCTGCTTGCCCCAATCCCTGACCTACCGTGTTTTTTGGACTATAAGATGCACTTTTTTTTTTTAAGATTTTATTTATTTTTTTAGAGAGGGAAGGGAGGGAGATAGAGAGAGAGAGAGAAACATCAATGTGCGGTTGCTGGGGGTCATGGCCTGCAACCCAGGCATGTACCCTGGCTGGGAATTAAACCTGCGACACTTTGGTTCGCAGCCCACGAGGACGCACTTTTTTTACTGCATTTTTTGCTTCAAATTTTTTTCCCCTATTTTCCTCCTCTAAAACCTAGGTGTGTCTATTTTCAGACCAGTAGACACACCTAGGTTTTTAGAGGAGGAAAATAGGGGAAAAAATTTTGAAGCAAAAAATGTGGTTTAAAAAAAAGGACATCTTATAGTCCAAAAAATACGGTATTTAACTATCACCCCTTTAAGCTGTTGTTTTCTGGCAGCAAGATGTTTAGTAGTGTTCCTTCAAAAAGTTGACTTGCCTTTTCTTACCCTGGCCTAATACCAACTGAAATGATTGGCTGAAAGAATTTTCTCCTATGGTTCCAGGTCTGTTTTCTCCCAAGGTTTTTCTGCCAGCAGTTACTGGTCATCTGTTACACAGAGCCCCGGAGGAGGATGGAGGCGTTGGGCACAGCGACACAGAAGCAGCAATAAAATGGGTCCTGCGAGCGGAGCTTCTTAACCTGAGGTCCATGGGACAAACGGCATCACAGGCCTCAATGGCCCATGAAGTGATGTACAGAGATGTGTGTGTGCACGTGCATGGCATTTCTCTTAAGTATTTCAGGTGCTTCGTCAGGTTCCCGAAGAGAAAGGTTAAGTAAGAACTACTGACTTAGAATTAAAAGAAGTCAGGTATTTGTGAAAGACTTAAGATGTCAGCAGTTTGGAGTTTGTGACAGTTTTTGAAAGTTTGGCTTTGAATTCTAGAAAGAAAGGCTCCCCCTGCCCCCAGAAAAATAAAAAGAAAGAATGAAGGAAAGGAAAGGCAAGACAACACCAACCTCTGAGTATCCGTTCTTGAGGGCCCTAATTTCACATTAAAGTCACTTCACATTGCATTTCTAATTCTTATAAAGAATTAGAAAATGCAAAGAAATAGACAGTAAGTTTCTATCCACCTTAATTTTAAGGGGGGAAAAAGGCTCAGGGAAGCTATTAACTTGCTGAAAGTCACAGTTGTAAAATTTAGACAGCTGTCATTCTGTTTCTACGACACCTTCTGTCGGTCTTTGACTTCTCCCTGCACCCACCGCTCACCCCACCCCTACCAACCTTGCAGCTGAGGTCAGAATCCAGGCCATAGCGTAAGACAGCCTTAGGGTCCGACATCATGGGGACTTTCACAGTCCTGTCCTCATCCAAATGGAAATCCTGGAGGGAAGTCTTTCTGGGGTCAAACCTTGTTGCCCACTGCCCTGGAATGGAACACATGGAGTGCTCTAAGCCCCAGGAGACCAAACGGGCATTGGGACCGTGCCGAGACCACAGCACGGTGCTGAAAATTGCCTGGCCAACGAGATCGCAGCCGTCCGAGGCCCTGACACATCAGGGAAGGAATAAACTCAGAAGGAAATGCATTGGCTTTACTGATTTGACTGTATGGATTATACAAGTTCCATGTTCGCCTGGAGGAGGAAATGAACTGGGGCACGCTTCTCCTGTGGTGTGTCTGGGAGACAGAATCAAAGGAGGTCAGAGCTGGAAGGGACCTGGACGTCATCCCGTCACCCCTTACAGCTGAGACATCACCGTGGCCCAGAGAGGTGAAGTGACTTGCCAACGCTCACACAGCGAGTTGATGGTCAAGTTCCCTTAGTTTAATGTTGCCTTTTAACATGCTGAGCTGCAATTGCTTCTTTCATTTCCTGGAGATCAGTGCTTCAAATAGAGCTTTCTCTAGGAATATAGGGGTCCATTCTTGCTACTGCCTGATAGATGGTTACAAAGCACTTGAAGGGAGGTTGCCCAAAATCCCACCCAAGGCTTGTCCGGATGGACTGGCCTCCCAGCGGGCCCATGGAAGAGCCCTGGGCACCTCACCAGAGCCTGGAGGAACGTCGTTGGAGAACCAGCCATGGCTCAGTGAGTGCCTGCCATGTCCTGGGCCCAGTGCTAGGGTGGCCACGATGTTGGGAGGTGTAGAGTGCCTCCGAAGTCAGGGTGTGGGCCTCGAGTCAGAGGTGAGAAAACAGGCCCAGAAAGGCTATGAAACTTGTGCTAGGCTGGGCTTTGACCCTCACCGGACTCCAGCCAGAAATCCAACAGTGTGCAGCCCAAACAGGCACAAGAATGGTCGTGCATTCTCTGCTAATCTCTCCACAAGCCTCTTACACTTCCTCAGCCTTTGATTTGATGACAAGCAGGTAACATTCAAGCAAGTGCGTTTCTTAGGCCCTCTTCTGGCTTTGCCTCTGGGGTGTTCTTGAACTAGGTCTTTGACTCCCCCTGCCCATTCATTCCCAGTCTTGTCTGACCCCCCACCATCTACCTGTGGCCAGAAAGAGAAATGGAGAAGCCCTCACCCTTGAAGTAAGCCACGCCCAGAAGGAGAATGCTGACTTCACTGGGTATTTCCCTTGTGGACTTAGCAAGTTTCCCTTTCATCTGGGCCTGCACCCAGTTGTTAACCTCCTGAAGGTCCACTTGAGAGTTGCCGGTCAGGATTCTGGGCCTGGTCCCGTATGACTTTTCCAGTGGTGCAACAAAGCTGGATTTTATCCGCAGCTCTGGGGAGAGATGGAGTAGTGTCAGTGTGGTCAGAGCTGAACCCGCCGCATCCCTCCTCTGGAAGCATGCCAGGCTTAGGTTCTGGTGTGCCACTCAGCAGGCCCTGACTTCCTGCCTAGTGTCTTCCAGTGACTCGCTGGGACTTCAGGCCAGCTTCCCCAGGCAGCGCTGGACAGGGAACTACAGATTTTGCTCATTGCTGTTTCTCTTCATGTTCCTGTCCCCCACCGACCCTCCCACTGTCTCCCTCAGCCCACTTACTTCCTCTTTCTGATCCCCTTTGGGCTCACAGGGCCCCTTCCTGCCCACCAGGGCCAGACCTGGCCTGAGCAGAAGTGATCGACTGTTCAGAAAGAACCGCACCCCCACCCCAGTGTGGAGCACAGAGCCCCCCACTCCTCAGGCAGCTCAGGCCAGTACACTCACTCTTCTCAAAGATGATCCGGGAAGCACTCTTGAAGTTTTTCTGGGTGGCAGTGACAGAGGCAAGGAGCTCCTTGTAGGTGCCGTGGATGTCTGGGTTGGTGATCAGGTCGTAGTAGAGAGCC